CATTATTGAAACACCATTGCTCATGTTACAAGTGGGCATTGGAGGTCCCTGGCTTTTTGGAAAGGCTTGGTTCTGCAAAGTAGGAAAAGCTGAATGTGTGCTTGCTTCCCTCTTGGCCCTTAGGCTGCTCTGCCATCCTGCCTGGTAGTTTGTAACACTGCCAGGTTGAGAGAGACTCTCCATCAGAAACCTTTCTAGCAAAGTTGTGCTATTCCAGTGGGGGGTAGCCACACAAAATACAGCACTCTCTACAGTTCCCAGGCTCTCTGAGCTCTCTAGCTGTATACCTAGGTTGTCTAGCTGTATAACTAGCCTGTGTAGTGAAATCATTAATCCAGGAGATTACCCGGACTAGGCACTTGTTGGAAACCCCTAAAGCAGCAGAGTTAGAGGAACTGTCACGGGTATCGGAAGCCCTGGCAGAGTTGCACAGAATTGCTTTTATTTGTTTGGTATCACATTAAAACCCTGTTTGTAATGGTTTGGAGGTGGCACTGCTTTGTAGTCTCTCTCGCTGTGTTTTTGCAGACAGTATTTTTTGCAGACAGATATTTGGAATAGCTGCCCTGGTAAAGAGGCCTCAAGGAGAAAGAAAACCTGAATGTACAGCCAGAAATCTCTCTACCCTTAAATCCAAGCCCTCTTAGACTACTGAGCCAAATTCCATTTCTAACGCCTTGTTTGCTCCCACTTTCTGTCCCCAGGGAATGCAGGAGATGTTCAGTGTGCAGGAGGGGTTCAACAGAAGCCTGAAGAAGAGGGTGCACAAGCCAGAAGCCTCCAAGACTTGCAGTGGAGAAAACCACCCTTTCTCTTTAACAGTGTTAGCCAGAGTGGAAGACTGATCTGGGGGGAAAAAAAGAGAGTGTCAAACCCCCAGACAGCAAACTGTTGTGGGTTTCGAATGGCCGAATATAACACATACATATATGCATATGAACACGTAGAGGCAATAGTGACAAGTGGTTCCTGGAGAAGGCTCCTGATGAGCGGCGTTAGTGGCTGTGGGTGCATGCAGCGTGAGGGGGGACAGGCTGGGTCTGGACTGGGGGGCGACCCAAACCTTGCATGTGCATCTTTCTGCAGGACCCTGTTTCGCAGCATTTAGAAGCACTTGGCTCTTAGCAGATTCTGCTTTTTACATAGGTGAGAGACAAAGGTGAGCGAACGTTTGCTCTGTCGGGCTGTGGGTGTGTAGGTAGAGCTTGATATTTACCTTGTGCCCCTTTAAGAGCAGGGGAGAGCCTAAGTGTCCGGTGATAGCCTGTTGTAGCAGGGCTGTGACTACTGTGCCACAGGGCTCTGAGAGCAGGTCAGGGTCTGTCAACCTGAAAGAAGAGATCTTTTTGTTTATTTACTTATTTATTTTTATTTTATTCCCTGTAATTTGCCCTGACATTATGTCCTGACATAACAGAAGTGTATGGATTTTTTGGTTGTTTGTTTTTGTTTTTCTTCTGTGAACTGCTCCGTAGAGATCATAGCGTGTGCTTGACTGTCTGCTCCCGTGCATGTGAGAAGGGTTGGTGGCAAAGCGTGAGGGTGTCCTGCTTTTCCAGGCCTCTCCATCACCTCTGGTCAAGTGTTCCCAGCTGGAGAGCAGCGTGGCAGGAGCTGGGCTGAGCTGGGTCTGCTTTCGAACACGGGACGAGGAAATCGCTCCATTAGCGCTCACCAGATTTTTCAGGGTTTCCCTAGAACAGTTTTAACTCTTCTGCTCCAAGCTCCATGGAGGGTATGTATGTGCTTTGGGAAGGAGAATGTAAGACTGCAAGGACTACCTCGCCAGTTTAGAGTTGTGTATTTCTGCAGAAAGCACACTCTGCAGGGCATGAAAACTGGGTATGTGCAAATGTGGATGCAGTCACAATCCTTGCTGCTCTTGTGGTGTGAGAGGCGAGCCCTGGTTTGGGGGATAAGGTCATGAGCAGGCAGGTCCCTTGTCTGTCCAGGAGAAGGGGAGGAGTGAAGCGACATCAGGTGGGTCTGAGTCCGACTTCAAGCAGAGGCAGGCAGATGTGCCAGGGGTGTCAAAGGTCCCGCACATTAACTTATGTAACCTGCCTAATTGCTTTGAAAAGGGCTGATTGGTTACAGCGTCCACCCTCTGTGACAAGTCTGTTTGTCACTGCACCCCGTGCTAGGTCTCTTACCCCCTACTGCTGCTGTGCGTTGGGCAGGGGGAGGGCTTGCACCCCCAGGCCTATGGGAGCTCCTGTAGGCAGGCTCTTTTGCTTTAAATACAGTATAGTGCTCGGATAAAGTGTAGAAAGGGAAATGAAGCCGACTGACTTAGAGAAGATAGTTCTCTTTTAATCGAGTCAATGTCAGACAAAAAGCTGCATTATAGCTGCAAATGAAGAGAGGCTGGTCTGAGGCTACTTGACTGAAAAGCCTCAGAATTTAACTGCATAAGGATCTTTTCCTTCCTTTGAAGGAGTGTGTAATGATTTCTGAGTGCTGTGAGTGCTATAAGAAAGATGTACTTTGATCTGTTAAAACTCAACCTCGGTGATACGACAGCATCCTTTGGCACAGCATTAGCACTTGCGGATTGAGGCGATAGACACATTGAGAGCACCTAGGCCTGCGTGGAGAGCCAGTCACACCTTGCACTAGGAGAAGGAAAGGTAAAAGACCCTTCATCTTTGCCTGATGGAGAAGGTTTTGGTTTAAAGTGTTAGTGTTAATAGGATTGATGTAAATGCACTTCAGGACATGACTAAGATGTTTGAAAATTGATGGGGTTGCCTACATCATGCCATAGTGTCTCCGTCAGATCACTAGCTATTTAGATTTTGGATATGGAGAGATGCTCAAGGTGGTAATTGTTGGTTTTATTTTTTTATTTTTTTGGTCAGGCAAATTGGGAAAAAGGCTCTTGTCTGCTAGTTGAGTGAATAAATTAAGTAATAGAAGAGCCTGATCCAAAACAAGGACCATTTTGCATTGTTATATTTGGTAATTCTTCCTTCACCAGGGAAAATGCCCCATTTTGAGCAGGAAGTCTCTCTGCTTTTGGTGATGTCTTCCAATGCCTTTGCTAGCCTAGAAACCCCATCCCTGGGAGTCTCGTGGTTCTGGTTGTGTTTAAGCTGTTGCTGGGCTCTTGCTTTGCCTCGGAGGGCTCAGACAGGTATTTTACATCTCTGACTCCAGCGCTCAGCTCGCCGAGGCCTGGTGAGTTATGTTGGCTATGCATGTGGCTCGGGGGCAAGGAGTTGGTTGTGTTATTCAGAGGCGCTCCCTTCCAGCATGCCAGGGAGCACACCGGGGACTTGTCTACAAAGGCAATTATTTCCCAAGAAAGTTGCTGTAGGGAGCAGCAGGAGCCAGCACAGTTAATAGAGAGGAAAGAGCTCTCTTATCTTTTCTCTCTGCCCTGATGATATTTTGTATTAGCCCCTTAAATAGCTTTGCAGCCTTATCTCGCCTCTGAAAGAGTCTTGCTTCTTCATGCTGGGCTAGACTGACTTCTGGCACCGGTGCTAATTGCTGCAGATTGCTGCTGACTGCTAGAGCTAGGCAGGCTCCCTTTCTAGTAGAAAATGCAGCAGCCTGCATTTTTTTTAACCTCAATTGGGCCGCTTTTCCCCAAAAGGTGAGGCAGAACGCTCTGTCCAGCACTGCAACGAGTGGGGATGCCCCAAGTGGGAATGGGCTCATATTGCTCGCTGATGGCATTCGTCGCACGCTGCAGCTGGGTCTGGCCCCAGGTGTTTCCGGGGCCTGGCTGGTGGGAGTCCCCAAAGCCAGAGGGCCAGAGCCCACCAGGGCTGTGGAAACCGTCCTTAGCTGTGCAGGGTGGGCGCATCTTCCTTGTGGTCTGTTGCTGTGACTGGTGTGCGAGCGCTTGCTGAACTTCAGATACAAACCCCAGATGTGTCCCACAGGGATTGGCCTTTTACAGACCTGGTAAGGGGGTTCAAAGCAGTGCTTTGAAAGCAAAAGTGGAACTTTCTGTTTGCTAGAGGTCTGTGCTCAACATTTGTCCTGTTACTTTGGGCATTGCCGTCTGTAGTTTTCCACTCCTTAG